TTTTTTTTTTTTTGATAACAATCATTTTTTTTTCTGCATGGTATGTATTTCCTGCTTTAAAATGAAATTTCGTCGCATGCTTGGTTCAAAACTTCGCGGTCTAGAGAGTTCGAGCACAACGATGCGAGCAAATCATCGCGAATCGCGGTAACGAAAGTAGGAGAAAACGCGAACGCGCGACACACGAGTCCTTCTTTTCATAAGTTTTCGAAATTGACCTCGAATTATCTGTTTTCATCGTTTCCTGCGATATCGATCAAGGTTAATTCTCGATAAATAAGAGCAATCACGAAAAAAACGTTACTCGAAGAGTAGATTTGGGCCTATGATAAATTTTACAATTTTTCTCTATTCAAATTTTTATTTTGACATAAAAAGGAAATAACCGAAAATGATTTCGAAATAATTAAGTGAAATTTGTGAAATTCCAAGTTATATCACTCAAAAGGTTATCTCTTAAAACGCGAAATCCAATATATTAAGATCAATTTATCACTTACAGTCACTAGAATCGATCGATTTATCAAAATATATGCTTTTTGTTTTACGAGCGACGAACAAATTCTTTCAGGAAGGAATTCGAGAAACTAGTACCTCGAGATGTTTTTCCATTTGACTTTCCCACATTGTCCTCTTGTGCTCGTTTTTCACTTTCTACTGGCAAATTATTTATCTTGATGCCAATTCTGTTCGCTCGACTTGAAAAAGGCAAACAAAAAAAATTTCCTCAAATTACGCGTATCGCGTAACAAAGAAAACGGATATAATTATCCCATATAATAAATACAGTACACGTGAGAATGACTCAATCAATTTTCTTACACACACGTCATTCGTTACACGATTATTGAATCTCACGCAGTCGTTCGAACATAACGATCGTTCTCGAAATTTTACCATTTCACAAGAACAAGGTCTTTGCCGTAATTTTCTACTCAGTGGTTACGCACTAGCGTTGCGCAACTAAATCGTTCGATGCTATTAGTAATCGACTGTCGCGAACGCCTCAATTTTCTCTCAATCTCCAGGTAAATGATCCATGAGAATGAATTAAAACGTCGAGGAAATGGATTCGAGAGGAATAATAGCTGAGCTATGATGGAAACCGATCGTTGTCCGCAATCCATGGATTCGCGACAGTTCGCAATGCACTTGAACGTGGGCCGCGTTCCACGTTCCACGCGATTCTTCGACCGCGATATATTCTTCGATCTGTGGACGCGATTCAAATTATTTTCATTCCATAAACCTCCGCTTGGTGGTGCATGAGTACGTTAACGTATAATGTGGTCACGAATAGTTCCGAACGATGACGAATAATGCCGAATGGTAACCGTTTATTTGGAGAGATATTTTCGCGAAGTGACTGGAAGTTATTAGTTTATTTCGTGGCTAAGAGCTGTATTTGAGAATCTTCATGTTTAAAAATCTACTTCTTTACGATAATTTTATAATAGTAAAAAAAGGCGGGACAATCAATTATACGATACCGTATAATACGAAGGCCAAGGAAATGGAGATATATATCGGAAATGTGAAAGAACGTTAAATATTCTATCTCGTACGGCTTACTAGACTCGATTGTAGAATTATTCTAGACAACCCATATTCCAAACTCTTGCGATCTAACAATTTAGAATGTATATACATTATGGAACAGGCTATTAGGAATAAAATTCTAGAATTGTATAATATTTCTACAGCCTACAATAAAGTTACCAAATCGTTTTTATTTAACCATGCCATAAAAATCAAAAAAGATTTTGTGAGAAAGTAGAAATTGAATTTAATGAAACATCTAATAGTGATCGCAAGAATCACAAATATATTTAGGAACTAAAATTAAAAAAATTTGACGAATACTTATATCAATTACTTTTTTCCCCAGTACATTCACTACAAAACTCAGCTGCCCGACATAAAGGAGTTCACTCTTTGCATGTGGACCAAATTCTACAATCACAGCAATGACCATCCTCTGTTTTCGTACGCAGGTGAGAGATTTATTTTCGTTTCCTTTTTCCTTTCACTTCTTCTCCTTTTTTTCTCTTTTTTTATCTCGAGTAAACGACGCGAGAAAGCGAAAGTTCCTCTCAGGCTTTTCGAGTAAAGTGAATCACTTGGTATTGCCTCGAAAATAAAGTTCTTCCATCAGTTAACTATGTCGATTCACGAACAATCACCATTGTCTCGGCCAATTTTCGAAGCTTCAACTCGCGCGAAACCGCGCCGCTCTACCGCCTCCTTGTATTCGTTTCCCGATATGAAATTCCGTCTGCTCGAAATACCGGAGGCTCGCGTAATCGTTCAAACTCGGATTCCTGAGAAATCCTCCCTTGGAACGCATTTCGTAAGCGAACTCGTGTATCATGTTCTCGCGAATCGTGCGTAAATACACTATAACGATGACGCAATTGCCTGTTCCCAAGGTACGTTTAACACGTTCTTTGTTAACCAGTTTCTAATGTCATTTCCGGCTTGTGCATAACACTTTTCCATAACAATCAAAATTATTATTATTATTTTTGTATATTCTTATAAATATTTTATTGCATGTATTGATGTAAATTAAATAGATAAATTTAAAAAATTTCAATGTACACAATTGATTTTTTAATTTTTTAATTTCTTCAATCCTCGTAAAGTTGTTGAAAATATACTTTTGTCGCAAGATTATCAATTTGAACTATGTTTCAAGTTGGAGATCAATCGCGCGGGATCCTATCCTGGGTGGCGAACACCCCGAGAAGTTCCTACTACATGATGAACATCGACGGGCACAACTTGTACAGATTGAATTATCCGCTTCGATTGAACAAGTGGTATCACTCGTGCCAAAGCTGGAACGGCCGCACAGGAGAATGGCAGATCTGGGTCAACGACGAGCGCGTGGGTCGCGGGTTCAACAACAGGGTAAGCGGGCTTCCGGTGCTTTTCACCGAACACTTGACGACTCGATGGAAAAATTCGCGGCCGTGAAAGTGGCGCGTTACCAACACGCCCGTTTTAAAATTAAAGCATCATTCTTCCGCGAACGATCGAGAGTCGGCTGCGCGTTCTGAATTCTAACCTAGTGAAAAATCTACATGGGGAAATTTCAACCAACTTTCACGGGAAAGTAGAGTGCGCGACGTTCGACAAGCGATACATACATATATATATATATATATGATTAATGTTTGATGTTATATCTCATAATTTCTTAAGTAGTATTCATACTGATTGTATATAAAATTGAATTACAACTTACTATTAAATACACAATTAATAATTAGATATAGATTGTAAACTGTCTACATAAATTACATTTATATCTTTTTAGAAATTATGTATTTAATGTTAGTTTAACTTAACAATTTCCGAGTGTGTAAACAGGAAATTGTTTGCTTTTTTCCAATTCCAAGTAATTATCAAATAATTCAATGTCTATTTCTTTACACGATAAACATATTCACTCTATTCTATATCTCAAATTCATATCTATTCTATATCTATATGAATTTACACATTCACTGTTTAAAAAAATTCGATTCTTGATTACTCTGTAATTCTTAATTGATAATCATTGACCGATATCGCTTCAGAAGTTATTGAATTACATTACAATTGCTACAAACTTTTCTCCATCCGCGAATATAAAAATGAACAAATTGGAACAGCATCGAAACACATACTTTCCTATCCTCAACTCGCAAATATCATTCCTTTCGCTATCAATGCCCCTGCAAGCCCGACACAAATAGTTCACCGTTTATCTTGCCAGATTCTCGAAAGTCGTGCAACAGTCGGTACCACTGTACCGTGACGGCTAACTCAAAGTAGAAAGCAATCTTCGGAAACGGTATACTACCCCGAACAGCGTAGGAAAATACACCGCGCGTCCGGTTCTAGGTCGTCTCCAGACATTTCTCCGCGGGATTCGAACGATTCGCTTGCGTAACTCCTTCCTTCCTCCTCGCCTCTTTTTCTCTCGTCTCATCTGTCCTTTCTCCCCCTCCCACTCAAATCAGATACAAATCGCGCCAAGAATTTTCCCGAGACTTCGGCTTCCGGAATC